GCACAGACATAGAGAAAGTGAATGATTCGTGGCACGGAATGACTGAAAGAGAACAAAGCAGAGAAATCGGAAGAGATACAGAAATGCTGACTCGTCTCCAACAAAACATAGCATTCAGCTCAATATAAAAATAGATCAGTAAATGGAGACCTCGCGGACTGTCTTCATAAATAGGAAAGATAAAATAAATAAAAGAAAAATAGCCGTACGTTACTATTAGATGCTTCACTCTTTTTGTTCACCATTTCATTGAGTTGCTCCATTCTTCATTCTTTTTATCACTCTTTTGGCGCGCAAGGAGAACGTCTTCTGTCGCTTCCCAGCGCGGATCCCAACAAATTTTTCATGCTATTCCAATCCTTTTCCCTAAAACCTGATGGTTTCGACTCGCTTTTTGGAGAAACAACCGGAAGAAGGTCCATAACTTGAAAACTGTTGTTTCAAATCAAGAGTGTTCAACTACAAAGTTGTTTAAAATTTGATTTGCCACAGTTCGTCAGTACTTGACTTTTTTCAAAAATCATTGGTTCTCGAGTTATACGCTTTTGAAGTGTACTACAGTTTAAAATGTTCACTGGTAAAGTACACCTACTTTGAAAGCTTCTAACTCAAAAACGATTGATTTACGATGAAAGTCAAGTATTGAAGAGTTGTTGCAAATTGCATTTTGAACAACTTTGTAGTTAATCATTTTTGATTTGAAACAAAAGCTCTTGAGTTATAAACTATTTTCTAGAAGGTGCTTTAAAAATCGAACGAAAAAGGGCAACAGAGGCTTTGATAAATCCGCCGGCTCCCCCTTTCTCTTATCAACGCCCTCAGCTACCTGTGTGGAATGTGTCGCCATAGCTCAGTTGGTTAGAGCGTGGGTTTGATTAACACCGCGGGGGCGGAGCAACTAACCCACCCAAGGTCGCAGGTTCGATCCCTGCTGGCGGCAATAATTTTTGTTTTTTTTTCGAGGGTGAGAGATTTCAGAGCTATGACGTGTCTCTATGGCTCAGTAGGTTAGAGCGTAGGCAGACCAACAAATTCAAGGTCTCAGGTTCGAACCCCACTGGTGACAAATCTTTTTTGCTTTTTTTCTTCTGGCAGTAAATGGTTCAATAAATGTTCTTATGTGTTTCTATGGCTCAGTGGGTCAAGTCACTAGCAAATTCAGAAATCCAAGGCCTCGAGTTCGAACCCCACTGGTGGCAAATCTTTTTTGCTTTTTTTCTTTTGGCAGAAAATGACTCAAAAATTGTTCCAATGTATTTCTATGGCTCAGTGGATCCAATCAATAGCATTTTAAGATATCCAAAGTCTCAGGTTCGAACCGCACTGGTGGCAAATCTTTTTTGCTTTTTTTCTTCTGGCAGTAAATGGTTTAATAAATGTTCTTATGTGTTTCTATGGCTCAGTGGGTCAAGTCATTGGCAAATTCAGAAATCTAAGGCCTCGAGTTCGAACCCCACTGGTGGCAATTCTTTTTTGCTTTTTTTCTTTGGGCAGAAAATGACTCAAAAATTGTTCCAATGTATTTCTATGGCTCAGTGGATCCAATCAATAGCGTTTTAAGATATCCAAAGTCTCAGGTTCGAACCGCACTGGTGGCAAATCTTTTTTAGCTTTTTTTCTTCTGGCAGTAAATGGTTCAATAAATGTTCTTATGTGTTTCTATGGCTCAGTGGGTCAAAGCACTAGCAATTTCAGATATTCAAATTCTCAGGTTCAAACCCCACTCGTGGCAAATTTTTTTTTGCTTTTTTTCTTCTGACAGAAAATTATTCAAAAAGTGTTCCATTATTTATCTGTCCATCCAACACGTCATCAATATGATGACGCATATTCATTCCTTGTTTTTCACTTCCTGCATCCACTCTTCTCATTCCATTTCTCTGTCTGCGTCTGCTTCTGTCTCCTATCTCGTTATTGCCGCCACTCCTCATTCTCATTGCTTAACTCGAGCTGAACTTGGAATTGTTCTGGCGCGCTTTGATGATTGTCTTTAATTCATAAACTATTTTCATTTAAATTTCATTTAAAAAGGTGAGTGGGAATGGAAAAGATTGCAACCAATATGTTATGAATTTTCGTATTTTTCGGTTCTTAAAATCATATTTTATCGATTTTCAAGAAAAAAATTGTAATTTTGGGGCAGAAACTAATGGTCGAAATTTTTTTACTGTTTTGTTTTTGGGGTTTTGTATGAGAATATTATGGGAATGAGTTCAAAAACATCAAAAACTGTTAAATTAAAATAAGAAATCAATTTTTTGAAAAAAAAAGTGCAAAAAACTGGAAATTAAATTTTTTGATTTTGGTAATTTTCATAGTTTTTGGAAAGCCCATGGTTTTTTGCTTAGAAAACTTTTTTTTCATCGATTTCCTTTTGCAGAGGAAGCGGCAATACGAACAAGAACGAGACGACACTCGAGTTCTTCGAAGAGATCGATCCAGCCTCCATGAAGCAAACCGGCTCGTTGACCACCGTCGTTGAGATCACCATTCACAAGAAGAAGGACGAAAGGAAAGGTTCACAGGTTGAAGTTGGACTTTGGAATGTGGATGGACGAAGATGAGGACGCCTATGAGGCTGACGCTAACGACGAAGCTCTTGGAAACGGAGTGGGATCCAGATTCAATCTGTACTCGTGAATTCTCGTTGAAAGGTGAAGCCGGTGGTGCCGAATTTGGAGGACTTGAGGATGTCAGAGATGGTGGTAATTCGAATAGTCGGCACGAAAATTGATGAAAGGCTACTGCAAGAGATGGGTTGCTCGAAGACAACGCGATTGAGACTAGTATCAAAAAGATGAATAATTTTTTCCGTAAAAACTTTGTTTTGTATAGATTTTCTGTTCCATTTTGATACTGTTTTTAACGATCTGTTTTGTTAGAGAAACTTCAATAAATACTTATTATGAATTGATAGAAAAAAGTACAAGAGAAAGACTGATTGAATTTTCAAATCAAGATTTTCAAACTCCTTGAGCCTAATCATTTTGCAAGCATATTCGATTCGAAAATCGATTTGAAACAGCTTACGTCAACTTTCGTGGGAATTCAAATCTTCCTTTCTCAAACTCACTCATTATTTTTTTTTGCTGGTTTTGAACTACTCGCCCAAAAAACAGAATGACAAAAAACCCTGAAAAATGAGGTCAGTACTGAAATCCCGAGTCTGTTCTCACCAGGAACCGAGATATAAAACAGGCCTCTGCCTTTTTGGGCTGATTTGACAGCCTTGTACCCTACACACAGGGAAATATCGAACAATTCAAGTCACTTCTAAATTTCCAAAAAAAAAATTCCAAATATTTCCCTTCAGATTGGATGAGCTCTCGAATATAGAATGAACGGACTGTATAGCTTATCAGAAGCAGTCGGAGGCGGCCACCCCCACTAGAGCATTGGATCGAGATGTATGGACCAGTTAGACAAATTGAATGATTTTTGTTAGGAAAGGAACATTTAATTATAAAAGGATGTAAACGATAAATGTTGAAGGGTCAATTGATCGATAGTGGCTGCGTAAGATGGAGTTTTTTGAACACATTCAAGAAAAATAGCATTTGGGTTTCACATTTAATTGGTTCAAAATAAGTTTATATAAGATGAAAAAACCAGACTGTACCATATGATAAAAAAAATTGAAAATGTATACTTCAAAGTAGTATATGGATACTTTTTACGTCTCTGATAACACGAAAAGTTGAATACTGGGGTGCATCCAATCTGATATTCAATTTTACACATATGATGTGGCAACAGAAGCATCGTAGTAACAAGCTTTGAAACAAAAAAGATAAAATATGTGACTGTGTGATTCATTTGTTTTGTGTTACTTTCCCAAAAAATGTAGTTCACACAACAGAAATTCTCGTCTCGTGAAAAGTACACAAACAAAATACTTGAAAGAAAAACATTCTCTTATCACAATATTGCATTCTTATTTGGCTTGGTTGGATCGCTGAAAAGTAGAGTGTCAATCCGCCTGCTCTTTTTGCTTTGTTATCAGTGATGCGCTGAAATCTATCAACCTTGACGTCGGCTTTATCAACCATCCTGAAATATAATTTTTGAAACTATTAAAATAATGTTAAAAAATTACACTCACTTCAGGAGGAATTCACTTGTCGCTGCGATTCGCTGCTTAAAGAGCATTGTTAGCTTTTCATAAAACCAAAATCGATCAGATCGTCAATACTTTCCGTTAATTGCTTTTTGATTCTGCAATCAGTAAGATAATAGGTCATTGAATAAACGAAAGGGTAGAGAATTAATCATAAACTATCGAAATTTTTACACGGATCGATTGGAATTTTAGTGTATAGAAGCACGGCCCTTTACAAACAAAACTACTTTGAATAAATTTTTTCAACTTACGGAGGGCGTTTTAATCTTATTCTGTACAGCAATATTCAAAATTGGAAGCCATTGAAGAATTTAAGAGGCACAATCTGTACCAGTGGGAATGCCCCAGGCACAGTTGCAAAAAGTTAATCCGTTCCAGACGAGTTTTGAACCATGGAAACACACCTGGAAGTGATTTCCAAAAAGTTCGCTAAAATTCTGATTTTTCGATTTTGGCTGAAATTATAGCCAAAAATCGACTTTTCAGGTCGAAAATTCTGAAAATTTTAGTTTTCGAGATGCCGTTCCGAAAAGTTCAGGGGTACATTTGGACAACTTGAAGCACATTTTGAACGAATTTGGCTTCGATTGAAAGTCGGAAAATGGTAGAAACACCTCTGGAACATCGGTTTTTTGAGTTTTTCTCGAAAATTTTGAATACCTGCCGTAACTTTTGACAATTTTTTCGGATTTCCCATGCGATTTGGAGCAAAAAAGTCTCTTGGACCATATTGAATTTCGTGGACCATTTTGAGTTATGATCATTTTTTCGAAAAACACCAAAGGGTCCCCCCTTATGAAAATTTTTTTTTCGAAAAAAAATGAAAATTTTTTTTTGCCTCAATTCAAATAATTTGCGTTTGCCTTACCATAAATAACCCACTCACAAGTTTTTAGTTGATGTAATGTCGTTTCAGCCACGTTATACCACGAAATGTCTGCATCAATCAGAAATGTCGATTTTTCTCAAAAATTTTCTACAGAAGGCGTACTTTTTGACATTTTTTTTGAATTCCCCATACAATTTGGAGCAAAAAAGTCTCTTGGACCATATCAAATTTCGTGGACCATTTTGAGTTATGATGATATTTTTCAAAGAAACATCACTGTCTGTGAAATTCTGAATACTGAAAACTAATTTTTCTCTTTTTAATGTTTTATTTTTGTTTTATAGTATCACAATGTTGCGACAAAGTCAAATGAACGAAAAAAATCGAAAAAATAAGTCGATTCTGGCTCATTAGCTTCAGGCTCAGAAGCCTAATATAAGCAGTACCGCTAAAATAGCATAACTCTGTTCAAGATGGAATAGACTAAAAAATCATGACAAGATCATTTTTTGACTTTTTGATAATACGCAATCAAAAATAGGTGTTTTAGAAAAATTTTCATTTTTTCGAATTTCACCACTTCCACCACATCTTGGCATATCTTGAAAAAACGTCATAACTCAAAATGGTCCACGAAATTTAATATGGTCCAAGAGACTTTTTTGCTCCAAATTGTATGGGGAATTCAAAAAAAAAGTCAAAAAGTACGCCTTCTGTAGAAAATTTTTGAGAAAAATCGACATTTCTGATTGATGCAGACATTTCATGGTATAACGTGGCTGAAACGACATTACATCAACTAAAAACTTGTGAGTGGG